TTAATTTTTTCTCTATTAAGTATTATATTAAATATCGATATATTAAGTAATATATTAAAGTAAGTTAACGTAAATATTATTATAGTATTCTTTAATATTACTTTATAGATTATCGTAACTCTTATTAAGTTAGATTTTCTTTTTAAAAGAATTAGCGCTCTAGACTTTATCGATAAGAATCTCTTTTAAACTACATATAATACGTTAATGAGATACGAAGATTTTTTCTCTATATATAAATCTATTTAGAATAATATAAGCTTAATATTATACTCTTTTATTATTATTATATTAAATACTTAAATCTATATAAAGTTTTACTTAGAGATTAATTACGAGTTTCGTTATATAAGTAATAACTATTATAAAGTAATAAATATATATAATATCTATATTAAAGATAAGTAGTTTATTTTTAAAATACTTCTATAACTTTAATAGTAATTTATTAAAGATCTATTCGCTTTCTATTCTACGATATATAATAATTAAATTTTTAAGAGTTATATCGACGATATTATCGTCTTTATTAATAATATAATCTTTAACTCTCTAGAGTATAAATAGACTTATCTTTAAATATCTTAACGTTTAATTCGCTTTAATATCGAAAAGTTAGAGATTATAAACTTATCTACTTATTAAATTAAATAAATCTTATAAAGAAGTAAATATCTTAAATACTCTAGATTCGCTATAGTCTTTAATTTCTTAAGCGAACGAGCGGTATATTAAATAATCGACTATTTATCAACTATTATAAAACTACTTATTCTCTTTACGTACTTTAAGAAGTAATTATCGAAAGACTTTAAAATAACTATATAGAGGTTAATCGCGAAAAGATTTTACGCGAATAAGTTAAAAGAGCTTTATAAGTTTACGTAATTTTATTTATTAATATAGAGAAAGATTATCGACGTAAGATTTCTTAGTTAAGATTACACTACGTAACGAGACGAGATAGAGCGAGGTTTTAAATACTTAACACTACCTCGCTTCGGGTCGAGGTTTTTAATAAGATAAGGTAAGTCGAGGTAGTATTTTTCCATCGAGGTAACGAGGGTACTCTACTATCTCGTTAAGTCTATTAATTAAATTAGCTCGAGATTATTATCTCTATAATATCTTCGTAATATTTCTCTAATATCTTATAAATATAATCTTATATATATTCTAAGTATCTTTCTAAGTATCTTTCTAAATATCTATATCTTATACTCTAATTTAAACTACGATATTATATTCTATACTCTATTTTACTTTACTTCTATTATATAATATTAAAATTTAAAGAGATTACTTAGAAGTACTTAGAGTCTATCGAGTTAATAGAGTATACTTTAAAACCTCAACTTCGAATTAAGATTAAGTCGAGGTTTCGAGCTTTCTCGAAATCTCGACTCGAAACCTTACTCTAATCTCGACTCCTCTTAGAACCTCGTCGAGATTTCTCGCTTCGTTACGTAGCGTAGTTAAGATAATTAAAATTAATAAAAAGTTAATACTTCGTTAAGAAATTATATTAAAAGCTTTATTACGATACGCTAAGATCTTATCTTATTTTAAAATTAAAGCTATCTATCGTAAACTTAATATTATATATATTTACTTTATAAATATATAGAATAATTAATATCTTTTATATTATATATTAAATTATAATATAATTATATTATTTTCTAATAATATAATAGTAATATTTAGAGATTATTTAATAAACGTCTATTAAGTTATTTCGCTTTTATATTAATTATCTACTTCTTCTCTAAGTCTCTTATCTATCTTAATATTAAATACGCTTCTCTCTTAATACTTATAATTCTACGAGTCTTTATATAATTTATAAATCTATTCTTTTATTAAATTACTCGATATTACTATAGTATTTAATAGTCTTATTCTCGACTTTTTAATAGAGTAAGTTCGCTCTATTATTAAGCTTATAAAAGATATACTTAATAAGATATTCGATAAGTATTTTAGTCTACTATCGTTATAGTAAAAGTAATTAATAATATTAAAGTCGATATAGCTATTAAATTAAAAATAAGAGTATAAACTATTATAATAAATAAATATAAAGAAAATTACGAAGAAGAATAAGAGTATAAATAATAGTAGTACTATTTACGCGAGTATACTCTCTATAATTTTATATTAAACTACTATATATAACTACGAAGAATCTTTCTCTCGTCTAAGTAATATATTAGTTTTTACTATCTCTTTTATCTCTCTTCTCGTCTTTTAACTCGTCTCTTAACTCGTCTCTTAACTCGACTCTTCGCTTAGCTATATTCGTTATATAAAGAATATAAAGAATATAGATTAAGAATAAATATATAAATATATAAACGACGTATATTTAAAATAGTTATTTAGAGAAAAGTAAAGATCTATAAATTAAAATTATAAAAAGTAATTAATTTTTAAATCTAATTTCGAGATTAAATTCAACTCTCGAAGAGTGAAAATATTTTAATTTAGAATTTACTTAGAAATATATATATAAATATATTTCGATTAGAAATTCTATATTTAAAAGTATAAAGTAGCTATTTTAATTATTATTCTAATTAACGACTAATAAATTTAATATAATAGCTATTACTATTATAACTATTACTATTATAGTTATTACTATTATAGTTATTATTATTATAACTATTATTATTATAGTTATTATTACTATAACTATTATTATTATAACTATTACTATTAAAACTATTATATAATAATAAACTATTAAAATAATAAATAGTAATAATTATAATAATAATAGTTATAATAGTAGTAGCTATTAAAATATTAGATATATTATATATAGAACGAACGAATTAATTCTTTAAAATCTCTCTCGAGCTAGATTTTAAATATAGTATAAAATTAGATAATTAAAGAATACGATATTTAAGATATATAAGAGTTATATTTTAATAGTAGTTATAATAATAATAATTATAATAGTAATAGTAGTAATAGTTATAATAGTAATAGCTATAATAGTAATAGCTATTATATCGAATTTATCGAGTTATTAATCGAAATAATAACTAGAATAACTATTTATACTTTTAAATATAGAAATCTTAATCGAGATATTCTATATATATATTATTTTATAATATAACATTATAGATATACGAGTAAAGATTAATAAATTAAATTTATAATTATTACTTTTAATTAGAGCTATCGAGCGAACTTTAATAAGCGATATTTAAATTCTTTATATCGAAATATTTATAAGAATAGTAGTTAAAAAGATATAATATTTAATATGAAATTTAAATAATTTTCGAGATATTATTTTAAAAGATATAGAATACTTTTAATTTTACTCGATATTTTATATATAAATTATCGTATATTAAAATCGTCTCGTATAAAATAAACTAGTCTCGTTATAGAGCTTTAAGAATTATAAGATTTTATAAATAGAATATAAAGATATAAATTTTTAAAGAAAAGAGATAAAAGTTAAAAAATTCTATATCTAAATTTTTTTATATCTTTTCGATTAGTATTAATAATAATAAGACTAAATTTAATAATTCTTTTTATATCTAAAAGCCTATATTACGTTCTATAATTTAAAAGAAAAATCTTAAAATTTTAATAGAGAATAAAAAAGTTATTTTAAAATTAAATAATATATATCTATTTTTTAATTAGAGCTATCGAGCGAACTTTAATAAGCGATATTTAAGATTTCTATTCTTTAATAATTATAATATTAAATTTTAGAATTTTTATATTATTAAAGAGCGTAAGCTACGGATTATAATTTATAAAAAAAATCTAAAAATTTAAATAGAAAATAGTAAAGTTATTAAGGGGTTGAAAATAGAATAAGAGATTTTTTAATAGTTACGAACGCTAATTTATTTATTCGCGATAACTTAGTCGATTTAATTAAAGAGCGTAGATCTAATAAATTTTTAATTAATTATATATATAAATCTAAGATTTTATAGCTTAGTCTTATCTTATTCTTTTATATATATTAATTATTTTATAATATATATTATTAAGATCTTATATTATATTAGATATAAAATTATATAAATATTAATATTCTATATCTTATTAGAGTATAATATAATAGATTAATATATTATATTATATTATATCTTTTTAACTAATATAAATTATTAATTTATATTATAAAATTATAAATTATTATTAAATTATATTCTTAATTATTAAATAATACTTCTATATTAAATAATATTTAAATATAAAATATAACTCGATAACTTACTATTACTTAGAATATAGTTTAATAAGTTATTAAAGTAATATTAAATTATAAAGAAGAGAATTCGCGATCTAACTTATTCGATTATAGAAATAAGAAAGTTTTTTTAATCGTATTTAATAAAAATTCTATTAGTTTAAAAATATTAGACGAAACTCGAGTAAATAAAATTTCGAGCTTAAGGTTATTTATACTTCGCGCTATAGATATCTCTATTTCAGTTTATATTAAGTCTTATAAGACGCTTTATATAATCTCGTAAAGCTCTCGAAGAAATAATTCTTAATAATATTATCGTTATTAAAAATTAAGTCGATAATTATTATTAAACGCTTAGTGAGATTAAGTTTATTATTATCGCTATCGCTATTTTTATTAAATCGTCTAATATTAAAAAGCTATTATTTAAGACTCTCGTTAAATTATATCTTAAGTAATAGCAAATTATCGAATTATATCTTATTTTCTGATGTGTTTTAGTGTAGGGATATGATTCGGTAAGGATTCGTACTTCCGAGGTATGATTCGGTAATTTGCCCGAACTTTTGCTTAATGTTGCTTTGGAAAAGAAGGCAGCCGTTGCAATGCAAAGTTTTCAGTTTCACAAGGCACTATTTGTGCAGATTGCCAGCTGCTGGAAATGGTGCCTTCCTTTGTCCTCATAAATCGAAAATCTTCTATAATATTACCATCTTCTTCTCTGTTGCTGCATCTCTAAAGGTCCTCATCAACGGCGATGGCAACAGCTTCTTCCACATCAGAGCAGCTTCAGGCAGAACCTGAAGCTCTTTTGAATGGACCAGCTGGCATACCACCTGCTGGTATGCTACCTGACTTTGATAAACCGGCTGGCCTCAACACCGTTTTCTATTTTTCTATCGCAATGTGCATAACCTTCTCAAGCTTAGCCGTTCTCATACGCATCTATACAAGAAGCTTTCTCCTCCGCTCCATGGGGTACGATGACTGTAAGTGTTGATATCCCTGCTGCTTCCAATTACTCTGACACACTTTCAAGATGCTTCGGTGGTTTCGTGGGTAGGTCTCCACACGATCCACAGTGTTTGGCGCTAAGCCCTGTAGCTGTGTTTGCTCGGATATCTCATTGTGGCGCTTTTCGTCACGAAGGCTGGGCTTGGTGTTCATATGTGGGACTTGCGGTTGAAGGAATTCTTCGGGCTGCTTTACGTAAGATATTGATTAGTCATTCACTCGTGCCGCTCGAATTCTCTACTGACAATGAAGTGGGTCAACATCGCTACAATTATGTACAACCCAACTGCGTTCCTGGCCAAGTTCTCTATTCTTCTTCAGTACTCCAGAATCTTCAACCCCGGCGGAAAAGGAAACTTGCCAGTGTTCGTCGCCATCCGAATTGGTATTTCGACTATCTTTTTGTTCTACTTTGTAAGAATATTCTTCGATGTTTTTCAATGCAACCCACGTGATAAGATCTGGAATCTATTGATTACTACTGGTCATTGCTACAATGGCAACGCTGCCTATGAAGCTAGTGGAATTTTCAACGTATTATCGGACTTCGCGATTCTAATTATGCCGATGCCCTCTGTCTGGAATTTGAACATGTCCTTGAGAAGAAAGCTGTTGACCACAGGTGTCTTTGCTTTGGGGTTTTTGTAAGTACCTTCATAACTAGCTTTTCCCCCTTTAGGCTGCGTTTGTCCGAATAGCTATCAAAGCGAAGAGTTGCTGATTCTTATAATCTTTTAGCGCTTGTGTGACGTCGATCATGCGCACTTATTATACCTTCCGAGTTCTCGAAACGTCAGACAAAAGCTACATGCTCGGCCCCTTTGGTCTATGGAGCTCAGCAGAGCTTTCAACCAGTGTCATTACTAGCTGTCTTCCCGCCCTGCCGAAATTCTTTCAACACATTCGCCCCAAGGTCTATAGAGTCTACAAAGTGTTTTCGGTGCAGTCGAAATCCACGAGTAGCTCTGGCCCCGATCAGAGAGACGGGAGCAGACCATCCAAGAATAAGCCCCTCACCAAGGTCAAAAACTCTTTCGCCAAGCACGGTGCTGGGTTGAATCTTACCGAATCAGACACGGACCCGTACTCTCAGCTCCATGGCGAGTATTATACGCTGGACGAGTTTGAAGCTTCGAAGCCCCAAACGATAATGGCATCTGCTCCGACCCAGGCATCAGGCGTGGGAATTGCCACAAGACGGGATGAGTTGGAATATGGACATCAAGGGTCATAAGTGGTAGACAATAGGGAGCAGCAGAACATGAGTGTGAGAGCTATGCGCGTATGTACTGGTACGTATTGTTGGGATCCTTACAGAGGACTTTGGCAAATTCATTGAGGTACGAACTTTATGATATTACGCAGTATTTGATACACTGAAATCGGCTTTATGTTCGTGCCTTTTGATACTAAACACGGCCTAAGCATATTGTGTAGCCTCTTTGCAAACCCGTTTTCATGCTCATCAAGCCTCAGCTACGATTGTTAGATTTCCCGTTCTGGTGCCGAGATCACTGGGACCGACCGACTTTCTCTTAGACAAGTTCTTCTCAGGGATAAGCGCAATTGTCGATGTAAGCTTAGCTGCGTCAGTGTGGGCTATTCAGAGACAGTATATCTAGCCCGGGAGAGTGATGCCTCACACTAATCATATGCGCTATGCAGCTAGTACTGCAGCTGGGTCACACCAGAGGGATAGTCTCCCGATCCTGACCGTGTATGATAATAGATCCCTGAACCCCTGGTCTCTGCATCCAGATCCATGGCCCATGGCGCTAAGGCCCGACAGTGGCCTGGGAGTTGTGTGTGACCGTCCTTGTTGGACACGTGTTCGGCCATCATTATTTGCCATTGATTTAGGCCTTTGTGTGTTTAGAAGGCGATTGAGGACAAACAGCTTCGTCACCCCCATCGTCCCCACTGCTTTCGATGGACAATGATCTCATGGCTGGTGGAATGGCTCTATGCCTGGAGTTGCTTTGAAATGGCCGCTTGGCCGAAATAGTTGTATTGGTGGTGTCGGCTGTATTGGCCACTTGGCTGCAATGATTGTAAAATGGCCACTTGGTTGCAATGACTGGGAACTGGCCGCTTGGCCGAAAAGGTTGTATTGATCGCTTGGCTGCAATGATTGTGAAATCTGATAACCTCGTTTCTGCCTCGTTTCTGTTCTTCTGACTCGTTTCCGACTTGTTTCTAGTGGTCTCGTTGCTTTTCCAAAGGAGGAGGTGATTGAGGATGAATACCTTCATCACCCCCATCATCCTCAATAGCGTCCGATAGCTCATCACCGCTGTATTCGCTTTGTAGAATACTCTCGGAGACGGATGTTTCCGGAAATGATTGTATGGAGTCTGAGTCGTCCTTCACCTATTTTTCGATGTGACTTTAAGTATATATTGAACTCTCTCTTTTCGAGTCTATTCGATTCTCGAATTCGTCGAGTTAAAAGAGATATCTAGTTATTAATACTCGTAAATAGTAAGATTATATATAAATAACGAGATATATAATTAGATATATTTAATACTAGAGTAACTAAGACTTTTCTAAATATATAAATAATTTAGAAAAGTCTCTTAACGCTAGAAAAACTCTTATATCTAAGCGATATATCTTAAAGTAAAAATAAAGCTATATATAAATATAAATATAAGAGAGAATAATAATATAACTCTAAAAGAAAATAATTCGAATAAAGAGTTTATTATTAATATAGTAATTATATAAATAATACTCGTTATATTTATTTATCTCTCTACTATCGTATATCGTATAATAATAAAACGATTAATTTAATAGTTATTAACGCTATAGTCTTATAGTAAACTTATTATTAAATAAACGAAGAGATTAGAATTATAGCGACGAATACGTAAAACTTAGAAAAAAAAAAAAAAAAAATCTTTTAAATTTTCATTTTATTATTTTATATCTTTTTATAATAATATTAAGATTTAAAATTATAAAAGTAGATATATTAAATTTAATAATATTCTTAATTTCTAATTATCTAATTTACTTTCTTCTTTATATATTACTTTTTTTAAAGTCTTTTAATAATTTATAATCGCGATATTAAAATTTATAGATTATATTTATTTTACTATATTTTATTTAATAATAATTTTTAATTTATTATAACGCGTATAGTTAAATATTTTAATATTATATATTATTATAAATAATTTACTTAATTTAATCTAATCTAATTTTATTAAAAAATTAATATTATTTATTATTATAAATAATATACTTAATTAAATCTAGTTTTACGCTATTATTATTAATATTAGAATCGATATAGATATAATATTAATATAGATATTTTAAATAAAATAACTAAGATATCGAATTATATAGATAGAAAGAAGATATAATATAATAGAAAATATCTTCGCTAAGACTCGCTAGCTATAAGACTAAGAGATATATTAAGAGTATACTTATAATACTATTCTTCTTCTTTATTAAAATATATTCGTTTATATACGCTAGAATTTAGTATTATATATTCGTTTATATAAATCGAAATTTAACGTTATATATTCGTTTATATAGATCGAAATTTAGCGTTATATATTCATTTATATAAATCGAAATTTAGCGTTATATATTCGTTTATATATACTAGAATTTAGCGTTATATATTTATTTATATAAGTTAAAATTTAACGTTATATATTCGTTTATATAAATCGAAATTTAGCGTTATATATTCGTTTATATAAGTCGAAATTTAGCGTTATATATTCGTTTATATAGATTAAAATTTAGCGTTATATATTCGTTTATATAAATCGAAATTTAACGTTATATATTTATTTATATAGATCGAAATTTAATATTATATAAATCTTATATTATTAATACTAAAATCTATTCTCCTTTATATAAATTATAATATATTTTCTTTTATATTTATTAGTTATATATATTAAATCTTAATATTATATTAATTTAATATATAATATTATTAAGCGTTATAATCTTTTATATATAATCTTAATTTAACTTTATTAATCTTAAAATAAATTTAAATAAAAAACTCTATTAAGATTTAATTTTTTAATATATTATTTAATATATAATATTTATACTTTATATATATATAATTCTTAATAAAAATACGTAATTACGTAATATAGTCTTTTTTAAAACTTTTAATAAAAGTTAAATAAATAATTAAATAGATTTTTATTAAATTAGAAGTTATAATATAATAATTAAAAAGTAAATTTTTAATTTTATTTTATTAAAAAATTTAGTTAATTTAATTATAATAGTAATATTAATATTTAAAAATATTATATATTTTAATAAACGCGTAATATTATATAGAAATTCTTTTATAATATATAATTCTTAAAGTAATTATTATAATATTTATTAAATTAATAATATAGCGTATTAGAGAAAATACTATAATCTCGCTAATTAGTTTATTACTTTAATTAAATATTATAATCTTCTCTTATTTTTTAAATAATTAGATTTATAAGAGTTATTATAATAATATATATAAGTAAATAAATAAATAGAGTATCGTTATAGCGATATATATAAATAAATAAATAATTAAATTTATAAAGAGTAGAGCGAAGAGCGAAGTAGAGATAATTTATTCTTTTAAATTTATAGCTTTTTTACTTTAATATATACTATATAATAAAATAAATAAAAGATATTAGCTCTTATATTTAAGTATTTTTTAATATAAAAAAAATATTTAAACTTCTTATAAATAAAATAGTAAATTATTATATATAATTCTTTATTATTAATTATCTTTTCGATATAATAATAATATTTATTATCTTTTATTTTATCTATTATTTATTAATAATATATATCTCTTATATTAATTAATCGCTTTATCGCTAGCGAGTAAATTATTTATTTTTATTTTTAAAAAAATAAATAAAGTTAAAAAAAAGGCGTTTAAAGAGTTAAGTATAAGAAATTATAATTTAATTTTAATATTTAATAATTAAGATAAAGAAAGCTTTATTTTTAAGAAAATAGAATAATAATAAAAGAGAGAAGTTAATAAAGAAAGAAGAAGAAAAATCGTTAAAGAGAGAGAAAGTTAATTTATCGTTATTAATAGAATTTTAATAAAAAAACTTTAAATATATATCGAAGCTTTTATTATCTATTAGACGATTTTCTTCTTTATCTTAATAATCTAAATTTATAATTTTATCTTATTTTTAGATTTTATTAGAATTCTAGATCTCTTATTTCTTCTCTTATTTATTCTTTAATTTATTCTTTAATATCTAAAACTCTTAATAATAATATTATCTTTTATTTAGAAATCTTAATCTTTTTAATTTCTTTTAAGTCTATAATTTCTCTACTCTAATATATATTAAATAATAAAATAAATAAAAGATATTAGCTTTTATACTTAAATATCTTTTAATATAAAAAAAATATTTAAGTTTTTTATATATAAAATAATAAATTATTATATATAATCTTTTATTATTAATTATCTTTTTAATATAGAAATAATATTTATTATTTTTTATCTTATTTATTATTTATTAGCGATATATATTTTTTATATAAATTAATTATCTTATCGCTAATAAGTAAATTATTTATTTTTATTTTTAAAAAAATAGATAAAGTTAAAGAAAGAGCGTTTATAGAGTTAAGAGTAAAGAATTATAATTTAATTTTAATATTTAATAGCTAGAGTAAAGAAAGCTTTACTTTTAAAAAAGTAGAAAAAAAAAAAAAAGAGAAGTTAATAAAGAAAGAGAGAGAGTAGTTATCGAAGAGAAAGAAGATTAATTTATTATTATTAATAAGATTTTAATAAAAAGATTTTAAATATATATTAAAGCTTCTATTATTCGCTAGACGATTTTCTTTTTTATTTTAATAATCTAAATATATATAAAAAAATTAATTTTATTAATCTAAATTCGTTAATATAAAAAATATATTTTTATATATTTTATAGTATTTTATAATAAAAAGTATCTTATAATATTATTAATATTTAATAATATATAATATAATAAAAATTAAATAAATTTTAATATTAGCTTTATAAGTAGAGATAAATAATAAATATATTATAATAAATATATTATAATAAATTTATAATTTTCTATATTATCTTATTACGAGTAATAATAGAAATATAACTTTATAAGAATTTAATCTTAAATAATAATTATATAATTAGAGATTTTTTAATAATAAGTATAATATTAA